GCCTGGGGTAGATTTATTGCAGCAGGTAAGTGAGGCTTGTAGCTCAGCCAAACAGAAAGGTTCGTTGTATGCCTCATGTGTTGTGGGCTTGCGCTCTAATCTGTTTTTCTATTGCAGTTTTGTATCGTCGGAACGCTTCACTATAGTGTGTTGAGCTGGAGACCAGTTCGAAGTGCGCCCCAAGAGTGTTTGCCTGGTCTTCCAAGCTCCCCCTTTGTGTGTTCCCTATAGAAAGTGTGTGTACTTGTTTTCCTGCTACCTTACTAACCATGTTCCAGACTCTCACCTCATCTGTGTATGAATTAATGCCTGATAAGAATTTATGCCAACTTTCTCTTCTCGACTGTCAGCGCACCCTCCTTCCTTGCGACTTGATCTTCTTAAAGTTTATAAGATTCTCAGCTGTAGGCGAGTCTCTAAGCAACTTCCATGCCTTATTTTGTTCTTTGCGCGCATTACGGCCATCATTATTCCACCATTGGACTCATCGTTTGCCTGACGGTCCACATGTTTGTGGTATACATTTAGTTGCAGCATCAATAAAAAATGCTGTCAGGTAGCTCACAGCAGCTTCTACGCTTAACCCCTCCATGTCAGTCCAAGTTAGGAGAGTCATTTTTTTATACTGTTCCCAATCGGCTTTGTCGGTGAGCCATTTGGGAACCTGTGCAGGACATATATTTGTTATTGATGTGCTGATAACGATAGGAAAATGGTCACTGCCGTATGGATTATTAATGACCTTCCATTTAAGTAGAGGCAGGAGTGATGGAGATGTTATGCTGAGGTCTATGGCTGAGTACGTATTGTTAGCTATGTCGTAATATGTTGGCTCTTTCCAATTCAGAAGGCACGCACCGGAAGAAAAAAGAAACTGTTCAATCAGGCGACCTCGCGCATCGCAGCGAGAGTCACCCCATAAGCTACTATGAGCATTAAAGTCCCCTAGAACGAGATACGATTCTGGAAGTTCTGCTATCAGCGACTGAAACTCGTGTTTAGTCAGTTGATAATGTGGCGGTATGTATATACTGCAAATTGTTACCAATTTGTTGAAGATGATAGCTCGGACAGCTACTGCTTCCAGGGATGTCTGAAGGGGTATACGTGTGCAGGCTGTTCCTTGATCAACAATTATGGCAACACCACCGGATGAGGCGACAGCATCATCTGTGTCTTTTCGAAAGATAATATAATTTCGAAGAAAGTTAGTGTGTCTTGATTTTAAGTGTGTTTCTTGCACACACAGCACTTTTGGTGTAAGTTTGTGTAGAAGTTCTTGGATATCGTCGAGGTTCCTCAGTAGGCCTCTGACGTTCCACTGTATTATATGTGTCATTCTAAAGATGTGTGGTGCTGTGTGTACAAGAAGTGTCACTTCAGGTTACAGGGCCATTTGGGGCCCCGTAATTCGACGTTTTTCTTTATGGGTGCGCTCCAAAGAGTTGTGCCTATCCTTCAGCGTCTGAGGCGCCGGAGGAGTGGGACTTGTATCCATCACCTCCTGCGAGGTGGCGGATGGTGCCTGATGAGCAGGCACATTCACAGAAGTTTCGGACGCAACTGCAGGTGCAGTGGTCCGGGGTCCGGCAGACTCTGAAGTCTGCTGAACCTGTTTGGCAGGAGGCGGAGCAGCACAGGCTACTCCAGCCTTGGGTGCAGATGCCGCGACCGTAGTCACACTTCATGTGACATTCGAAGACGCGGAAAGATGTGGCACGACGACCTGGCGCGTCACATCTGCAAAAGAAGGAAAGTGCTTGTTATGGAGAAAGAAGCGCTGGCGCGCCTCTTGAAACGACAGATTGAATTTAACTTTGAGTTGAAGAATTTGTTTTTCCTTTTTCCAGGATGGGCACGTTCGTGAGTAGGCAGGATGGTCTCCTTCACAATTCGCACAGCGGGCTGCAGCAGTATAATTGTCCGATGGGTGTTCGTTGGAGCTACAGTTTGCGCAAGTTGCACGCCCTCTGCAGCTTTGCGAACCGTGTCCAAAGCGCTCACATTTGAAACACCTACGAGGATTTGGTAGGTAGGGCCTGACTCGAAGCTTGCAGTAGCCGGTTTCGATTGAATCGGGTCAATCGCTAGTACCAAAGGTGATAATTATATGTTTCGTTGCTGTTTCTTTTTTGTCTCGTCGTATTACAATTCTTTGAACCTTCACTACATTCTGGTCTTGCCAGCCTTCCAATAATTCACTCTCCTATAATCCAAGAAGGTCGTCATCAGAGATGACACAACGGACTGTGTTCAAGGATTTGTGGGGGCCTACGGAAACTGGGACATCTCCAAATGCTACCAGTTCAGATAAATTGTCATATGGCAGCTTGTCGCAAACCTCCAAAAGGAGGTCGCCGCTTCCCAACTTGGTTACACGATATCCTGGCCCGATTGCTTCTGTGAGTGTTTTTGAGACAAGAAAGGGTAAGGTTGCTCGGACTGTTTTGTTTTCTTTCTGGCTATGTATGACATGAAACTTGGGGAAAGACTGCTTTGGTTTTGAAAGGAGGAATGGGTCTTCGGTGCGCCACCTTTTCGGGCGGCGATCAGGGAGAGGGGGAAAAAAATTAGCCATAGAGTTTATTTAAAGTACGGCGGCGATGGTGGCCACCCGCCACCGAGCCCAACAAGGGGACGCTACAAGGTTGAATAGTAAACACTTGGAGACACCAGCCATGCATCGCCGCTATAACTGAATATAACTACCCAAGGTGTGGTAACTACACAAGGTTAACCCTTGCCACCCGGAGGATGGAAGTAAACAGAAGTGAGGAGATGACAGGAAAGATTGAAAGAGATAAAAAGACGAAGATCAGGGGAGAGAGAGAGACAGGAAAAGGCGACTGCCGATTTCCGCTGGGTAGGTCAGCCCAGGGATGTCGTCTACGTGAAGCCAAGGCCAAAGGGGTGTGTTGCCTCTGCCGGGGGGCCTTAAAGGTACAATCACCCGGCGTCCGCTCAACCCCCAGGATTCCCTTTTCCCTGGACAGGGCAAAGCCACGCACGGCTAGGCGTGGGAGGGAGTAGAAACTACCCCGTTAGCTCGGGTCTGTGGTGTCGCTACACACTAAACGCCTACTTGCACAGGCGCACCTGCGGGGCTTCCGCTGAAGTGGCGGCAGCATTCGGCGTCATTCGCCATTGTATCGGTTGCATGAAGGAAACTGGGCTGTCACACCTGGACAGCCTTGGTAAGATCAAGACTAGCATCTTCAACATTAAAAAAACGAAGAAGCTGGCCAAGATTAGGGATTTTTTTCATTCAAATAAATCATTGTGTTGCGGCGTGTGAACAGAATTAGTTGTTGTTCTTGAATGCGCCTCTTGTAGATGATAATCCGCTACAGGTAAGCTTTCGAAGCCTCTATCTTTTTATATCGAATTTTTTATATATCCAACTACCGTAATTACTCGAATCTAACGCGCACCTTTTTTCCGGTTAAGCGAGTTCATAAATCGCATGCACGTTAGAAACGAGTACGAACAAAAAGTGAATACGGTCATACTATTGCCATTGGCATTTTCAAAATGGCCGCCCCCTACGTGCGTCGGCATGGCGCGTCGGCCATTTCTGCCTATGTGTTTTCCCTGTGCGGCACTTCGTACGTGTGCTGAGGAGTTCATCATCTTGTAGTGCATTAGCATCGACGGCATGGAAGGGCCGACTTCCAAAAACTCGAGTGCACCACGATGCCGCTTTTAAAAAAAAAGTCATCGCGTGTGCAGAAACGGACGGAAATTGGGCCGCATCGCGGTTGTTCGGAGTTCCTGAAACGTGCGTGCGGGACTGGCGGAAACAAAAGCAGAAGATTGTCGACAGCAAAGCTTCACGCAAAGGATTCAGTGGACCACAGCAGGGTCGGTTTTCGCAAATTAAAGAGCTGCTCGGCGAGAATGTGCTTGAGCAGCGAGCGGCACAGCGGCCCGTGATGACAGAACTGCTCCCAGTGCGGGCTATGCAATTAGCCTTAGAAAAAGGTCTAATGCGGAGCCAGTTTAAAGCGAGCAGGTGCTGGCTAACTAACTTTATGAAGAGGAAAGGCTTTTGGCTGCGAAGGAGAACGGGCATATGCGAGAAGTTTTGCGGAGGAGAACGATGAAAAGTTTCACAGTTTTCAGAGGTTCGTCCTAAACTTGCAGCACAACAACGGCTACCTGCTTGGGCAAATCGGGAATGCCGATCAGACGTCTCTTTACTTCGACATGCCTGGCACCACAACCGACGAGAAAAAGGGGGCGAAACAAGTTCGCGTGCTGACATCGGTTCACGGTAAAACTACAGTGACGGCAATGCTCTGTTACACGTCAGATGGGCACAAGCTTTGCCCGTACCTCATATTTAAATGAAAGACGCTCCCGAAAGGCGTCGTTTTTTTTTAGTGGTGTGATCGTGCGGGCCAGCAAGAAAAATGGGTGTGCGTTGCAATCGATGTCTTACGTTTTTTTTTTCGTCGTGGAAATCGGGTGCGTGTTACAATCGAGGGCACTGTAGAATCGAGTAAATACGGTAATTCCCGATCCCATTCAAGTTCGATACATCCGTGTTCGACTGTAGTTACGAATGCACCTGCAACTCACCATGTAGCCGATGCCACACAGTTCCAAAAAATTTATTTTGCATCTTCAGTTGCAGAAGACAACCAGTCAATGACAATGACTCTGGAACATGCACGGCAAAGCGTTGTCATTGGCATGTTCAGCCGAAAGCCACAAAGGCAGCATGAATTTTCCAGCCCGGAGAAGCAAACGTCTGAATTGACTAAAATAATTAAATGGAATATAGGGACTCCCATATACATTGAGAACATAGCAGCCAGAACCCCCCAACTGCCCGTGCTCAGGTCTGTAGACGATAAGCATGCTTATAGGCACAGCAACATATTATATTGCACCCTTGTAGCATATGTTCCTATTTATTGTAAAAACTCGACACATCCCTTTTCAGGGAATGGGGTTGGGGGTGAAAGTAATCCTCCTACACAGGAAACACAACTCACCATCTCTGTCGAGGCAGAAAAGGGGGAAGTCCATGACCCAGACAAAACGGAAGTCGTCGGGAGAGAGTTGCTGAGCCAGACCACTCTCACACAACAGCTCATGCACCTCCAGTCGCAGGCGTCCCAGCACTTCTCGCTATGGGTGAGAAAATGGGGGAGCATTTTAAGACTGATTGAATACTGTGTTCACAACTCATACATCGAAAAATTGTGTATATTGCCACATGATATGCTTGGGTGAGATCCAGGAGTGAAAGAAGACAAAGACGATCTATCTAAGCTGCTTCTTCGCTAGTCGACTCAACGAACTTATTATACCAAGTTCGTCTTCAGAAACGTGACAAGACTGGTGGAGTTGCTAGGCACAACGTCTCACAATCCACCTGATGCCTAAGACCCCGCCCAGCAGCCGGAACACAAGCCCTGCACCCGTGGACACTCCTGTTCACAGAGTAAGCCGCTGCTAACGAGGCCTACCACCTGAGACACCAACCACTGATGCAGCGACTATGACTTCCACACAAAATCCAGTACAAGCTCCGACACCTTCCACGCCGATCTACTGCACCATCCAGAACCCACTCATGTCTAGCCCCTTTCACGGAGAGCAGCATGAAGATGTTGACGACTGGCTGAGTGAGTTTGAACGTGTCGCAGCGATAAATTACTGGGATGATGCCGCGAAGCTCCGGAACGTGTACACTTGCCTAAAGGACGGTGCCAAGACGTGGTTTTTGAACAGGAATGATGTTGTGACATCTTGGCGCGAGTTCCAGCGTCGCCTTCTGGAGACCTACAGGAGTCCCGACCGCCGCGACAAGGCGGAGCGTGCACTACAATCACGCATCCAGATGCCAAACGAGACCGTCTCGATGTACGTCGAGGACATGACACGGCTTTTCAAGCGAGCGGATCCTGCTATGGCAGAAGAAAAAAAGTTGCGCCTCCTCATGCGTGGTGTGAAGGAACAACTTTTTGCTGGTTTGGTGCGTAGTCCCCCCAAGAGTGTTGCTGAATTCCTTATTGAAGCGGCAACAATGGAGCAAGTACTGCACCAACGGTCTGCCCTGTTTGACCGTCAAATGAATGCTGCCTCAACTCCCGAAAGTTTTGCTACCCCTGGGAGCAAGAGCCCCGAATGGATTCGCGAGATCATCCGATCTGTCCTCCGGGAAGAAATGGAAAAGATGTATGGGACAAGGCAAATCGATGTTGGTTCTATCATCAGTGTCATTCGTGACGAGGTTCAGCAGATTGATCGATCGATTGATCTGTGGTGTTTAACCTCCCAAAACCACCATATGATTATGAGAGACGCCGTAGTGGAGGGCTCCGGAAATTTTGACCACTTGGGGTTCTTTAACGTGCACCCAAATCTGAGTACACGGGCCTACAACATTTCCGCCTCCATCGGAAATGCAGCCGCCACAGCCGGGATTTGATCCCGCGACCAAGGTCCAGCAGGTAATGCACACCCATCGTTTTCCGCCGATGTCGGTTGATCCGGAAACGGCTTCTGTGTGTACTAACAGTCGCCGTCATACGTACGCGGAAGCCTTGCGATCTGCCACGCCTCTTTCTGGTCAAGGAGTCCCGACCCAGACAGTGCCACACGTCCCGATCCAGACAATGATGCCGTCAGTCGCGATTCAGTCAGCGCACGCTAGTTTGGACATCGATGGTCGCCGTGCACTGACGCGCAAGTCTGATCTCTGGCGTACTCTGGACAGACGACCCCTTTGCTATCATTGTGGTGAGGCTGCACGGATTTTCCGTCAATTCACCTTGTCCCCAAATTGGTCAGAGGCCGAGGGATATCGAAGAGTATCTCGCGCAACAGCGTGCACCCTTTACACGACGGCAATCGCGGTCACCATCTCCGAGGAGACCCGCAGCCACTGGGTCACGTTTCAATGTGACGGCACGAGAATGCTCTCCGAGCCCTCGTCGGGAAAACTGAAGGCGGCGACATTCGGGGGCAAGGTCGCAGGGACTTAAAGTGCGGAAGGCCTCCCATCGACGCTTACAAGCAGCGCGGAAGACATTTCAACAGAGAATAATCGCAGTATCGAAAAAACGCCGAAATCCACATCTGAACCCAGTGACCGCGTGTCACTTGACATACCTGTGCTGATTGACGGTTTTCAGGTCAATGCATTGATAAACACTGGTGCAGATTATTCGATTATCAGCGGGAGGCTAGCAAAAGATCTTAGAAAAGTGATTACGCCGTGGAATGGAACGCGAATTCGAACTGCTGGAGGACACGTTGTAACCCCGCTGGGTCGCAGTATGGCAAGAGTGAAAATTCGTGCGTCAACGTTCGTGCTCAGCTGCCTCGTTCTTCGCGACTGTTCACGTCAGCTGATTATCGGCATGGACTTCCTTCGGGAATACGGTGCCATCATAAATCTTCGTGAGCGCATCGTGACCTTCCCAACTCAAGGCGCAACAGATCGAGAGGTTAATAACTGCCGTAGACCTGCACTGCGTGTTGCTGACGACAGTGTGACGCTGCCGCCTCGAGCGACTGTTTCCATCAAAGTCACTTGTGAAGACCTCCGGGACGGTGATGTGGTGGCTGAAAGCAACCTATCACTTCTGCTACTCCAAGCTGTATGCCCCGCCCGAAGTGTTGTGTGTGTCCGTAACGGGCAGTCACAAATACTAGTTACGAAGTTCAACTACGAGCACCGGCATCTTTTCTGCGAAACCACCGTAGCCTATGAAGACCCTAACGCCGACGTCACGGAGTGCTTCGCGTCCGAGGAAACGCATGAGGATGAGGAATTTCTAGACCACATCGACATTAATTCGACGCTGTCAGACGAGAGAAAGGCTGCACTTCAGGACCTTTTAAGGGAGTTTTGGTCTTGCTTCGCCTCTTCTTCCAAAGTCCGTCAAACACACCTCGCCAAGCATCGAATTATTACCGACGATGACGTCCGCCCCATCCGGCAGCAGCCTTATCGCGTTTCTTCCAAAGAACGTGCGGCTATTCAGACACAAGTAAAAGATATGCTCGATGACGGGATTATTCTAACATCCAGCAGCCCTCAGTCCTTGCCAGTCGTTCTAGTGAAGAAAAAAAGACGGAACCCTGCGATTTTGTATTGACTACAGGAAGCTTAACGTCACGAAAAAAGACGTTTACCCGCTTCCACGGGTCGACGACTCTCTCGATAGATTACGACGCGCGAAGCATTTTTCGTCCATCGATATAAAGAGTGGCTATTGGCAAATTGAAGTGGATGAATGAGACCGAGAAAAAGCCGCGTTTGTGACTCCAGACGGACTTTACGAATTCCGAGTTCTTCCCTTCGGCCACTGTTCTGTCCCAGCCACATTTCAGAGGATGATGGGCACAGTTCTCGCTGGCTTGAAGTGGCAAAGCTGCCTTGTCTACCTCGATGATGTGGTCATCTTTTCCGAGAGCTTCGAAGAACATCTGAAGCGTCTGAGAAAAGTTCTGGAAGCCATTCGCACAGCTAAACTCACGCTAAAACCCCAAAAATGCCATTTCGGCTATGAAGAGCTGAAATTTCTGGGACATGTCATTAATGCGGATGGAGTGCGACCTGATCCAGACAAAACTACTGCTGTTGCCGCCTTCCCTGTTCCATCAGAGAAAAGAGCAGTATGCCGTTTCCTCGGCTTGTGCGCCTATTATCGCCGATTTATCGCCAACTTCTCGAAGATAGCTAAACCTGTTACGCGACTCACCCGAGATGACGTGCCTTTTACTTGGAGCGCAGAACAAGATGCAGCGTTCACACAGCTACAACAAAGAATGCAAACAGCCCCTGTTCTTGCCCATTTTGATGAGGACGCTGCTACAAAAATTCATACAGATGCCAGCAATGTCGGACTTGGCGCTGTCCTTGTACAACGACACGGTGCCGTTGAACATGCAATAGCTTATGCCAGCCGTACTCTTTCCTGAGCCGAGACCAACTATTAAGAATGCCTCGCAGTCGTCTGGGCGACGACCAAATTTCGGCCTTACCTCTACGGTCGCTCTGCTGGCTGGCAAATCTCAGAGATCCATCCGGTCGTCTCGCTCGGTGGAGTTAGCGTTTGCAGGAGTTCGATATTACGATTGTGTACAGGTCAGGGTGCAAACACGAAGATGCCGACGCGCTTTCTCGAGCGCCTGTGGGGCATGCTGTCAGGGGCTCCGAGGATGAAGATGCCTTTCTCGGCGCAGTCAGTGATTCCGAATGTCTGTCAAAACAGCGGGCAGATGACGAATTATGCCCAGCTATTGATTCCCTGGAAGGCCGGAACTCACACATTGCTCGCGTACTGTCCTCTTTTTGTCTAAGAAGAGGCACTGTTTACAAGAAAAACGCCCGTGGTAGCGACAAAGCCTTCCTACTCGTTGTTCCTACCAAAATGCGTGACGAGATCCTCCTTGCGTGCTACGACGAGCCCACGTCAGGACATTTGGACTATTCGCGAACTCTCGCCAGAGTAGGCCAACAGTATTACTGGCCGCGACTATCAACTAGTGTACATCGATATGTGAAAGGCTGCCGTGAGTGCCAGCGTCGCAAGACTCCGCCTGTGAAACTCGCGGGCCTGCTACAGCCGATCGCACCACCACAGACACCGTTTGACCTCGTGGGAATCGACGGCTTATCACCCGCAATCGAATGGACTGACAGAGAGGCTTAACAAGACCATAGCGGACATGCTGTCAATGTACGTGGACGTACAACACAAAACCTGGGACGAGATTCTTCCATACATCATGTTTGCATACAATACGGCAACGCAAGAAACAACGCGATTTCCACCTATTTGACTTGTTTACGACGCAACGTGTGAACCATGCTCGATGCTATGCTTCTGTGCGACCAAAGCAATGAACTCGCTCCAGACGCTGAGCAATACACTCAATACGCCGAAGAAGCTCGTCAGGTAGCTCGCACAAACAGTCACCAACAAGATGCAGACGCACGACGTTACAACTTCCGCCATCGAAACGTCACCTACCACCCTGGGGATTGAGTGTGGGTTTGGATCTCTGTCCGGCGACCAGGCTTATCCGAAAAACTCCTAAGCCGTTATTTTAGACCGTACAAGGTTCTTAGACGTGTCACATACCTTACCTACGAGGTATTTCCAGACGGC